CTAAGCTTCGTTCAACATAGTATATTTTTATTTCCTAATTTTTACCTTTCCCTTTCTGCCTACAATTTGCCCTCCAACGCCTAACCACAGCTCACACGGGCTCTTCAGCTAAGGTCACTCAGTAATAAATTAGAAAACAACAGATACTACGAAGGTGCAAAGCATGTAATATTAATGAGCAAACAAGCATTCCATAAACTTAGTTTTTCCAAAAAGAAAATAAATTTTTAGAATAGAAGAGTTACCTTTTGAAATATTTAAGGAAAAAGAGAAACTACTCACATTTCATATTAATAAGAAATATACTTACAAAGATTTATATTACTGACTCTGGAATTCTGAAAAACTTAAATACACTTAGAGGTTTTTTGAGAGGGGTTGGAAATTTTACAACGTAGAGTGAAGGGGTATTTTTCATTCTGCCTCTTTCGTTGGCAAGCATGCCAATTTATACAACATTAAAAGAAGAAAAAACAAAACTCAAAAGGTTATCCCAACATTTCACGTCTAAAACTTTCCTAAGGGTCAAAACCTATGCTAGCCTAGACTTAGGCTTTTTTGAAAATTAAGTAAAGACAAGGCTATATAAGTATACAATTATATGCCTCTTTTGACGATATTTCTACATATAAAAACAAATAGAGGGTTTGGATAATGATACCGGGTATTGCTTTGGGCCCTATCGCACATCATTCAATCCTCCCATTTTTGACAAAATTCTGACACTATAATTTATTATAAGACACGTGTAAAGATTTTCACAGCTTTTCTTTAATGGAGCAAGGTGGGAGTCATCTGCTCTATTAAAGCAGTGAGTGAAGGAAAATCTTTATAGTGTCAGAATTTTGTCAAAAATGGGAGGATTGAATGATGTGCGATAGGACCCAAAGCAATACCCGGCATTTTCTTTAATGGAGCAAGGTGGGAGTCATCTGCTCTATTAAAGTAGTGAGTGAAGGAAAATCTTTATTGCTGACAGACTCAAATAATTACAGACACAAATATTTACAGAATCTTTTATCGATAATTGAAGAGAAGCTTTATCTTCTACTAATTTTGTTTTCTTCTGCTGGAGTATCAATTATTGATGCAGACGCTTGGATGTTGAATCTTCAAAACGAATTCTTCGTGGAATATTTACAAAATTGAAAGGTCAAAAGGGACTGCTGCTATGATATCTTCAAAATATTATATGAGTCTTGTAGTGGAGACCCTGTTTCTTTTTAGAAAATTTAGACATAGAAAATTATGAATTTGAAGATTTAGAAGAATTTGTTTTTGAAGGTAAGGGAGACTATTGGAACCTAGAAGATTTTCAACAAACAGTTAACCTAAAATTAATTTTTGCAAAAATAAGAAAATTAAAGAAAAAATTAGTATACAGAAGAACAGAAAATGATTTAGATGAGATAATAAGATTAGCTGAAACAACAGAGATTTTAGGAGAACAACCCATGAAATATTGGGAAAGAAATAAGGTTTTAGCCAGTGAAGATATAAAAAATAAGGATTACAGGATTACATCAGCACAAATAGATCATACGCCAGCAGATATAGAAGAATTTAGAACACAGATTAAAGAGTTACTAGATTTAGGAGTAAGTAGACCTAGTAATAGCCCGCATAAAAGCGCAGCATTTATGGTTAGAAATCATACAAAAATAAAAAGAGGAAAAGTTAGAATGATTATAAATTACAAAAGATTAAATGATAATACAGAAGACGATAAATATAACATACCAGATAAAGACCAACTAATAAATAGAATACAGACAGCAAAAATATTTAGCAAATTTGATTGCAAGTCGGGATTTTGGCAGATAAAAATAGAAAAGGAAAGCATACCTTGGACAGCCTTTTGTTGCCCACAAGGACATTACGAATGGCTAGTTATGCCTTTTGAACTAAAAAATGCACCTTCTATATTTCAGCGTAAGATGGATAGTATATTTAATAAATATAATTTTATACTGGTGTACATAGATGACATATTAGTGTTCAGCCCAGATAAAAATAGTTATATAGATCATTTATATATAGCATTAGAAGAATTCATAAATAATGGGATAATAATTAGCAAGAAAAAGATAGTATTAAATAAACCTCATATAGAATTTCTAGGAATGGAGTTAGGAGATGGAAAGATTAGGTTACAACTTCACATAGTTAAGAAAATTTTAGACTATCCAGATAAATTAGAAGATACAAAACTTCAATCATTTTTAGGAATTTTAAAGTATGCGCGAATGTATATTCCTAACCTTAGTAAAATAATAGGACCACTATATGGTAAAGACCACACTCACTGGACAAAAATATTTCAATCAACAAGATATAGCTCTAGTTAGAAAAATTAGAGACATTTGTAAAAATTTACCAGACCTACAACTTCCCTTTGAATAAGAATATATTATAGTAGAAATAGATGCAAGTCAATTAGGATGGGGAACAATATTATTAGCTAAACCTAGTAAGTATGATAGTAAAAATAAAGAGCGCATTTGTAGATACAGTTCTGGAAAATTTAAGGAAAAAGACACGACTATGACTAGCCTAGATTTTGAAATATTAGAAATAGTTTATGCAATAAATAAATTTAGATTATTCTTGCACAAACCCTTTACAATTAGGACAGATTGTGAAGCTATAGTTAGATTTCATAATAAACTTAACGAGCGTAAATTAAGTACTAGAAGATGGGCAAAATTTTTAGATTGTATAGTAGGACAAGGATATAAAGTAGAGTTTGAACATATTGAAGGAAGTGATAATAGGTTAACAGATTGGTTAAGTAGGAAAATCTATTTAGAAAAAGAAGATAACCAGTTTAATTTTTGTGCAGATTATGGAGAACAACAAAACCATGAATTTTGGGGGATTTTCTCTTCCCATTCATGAAGGCAGAAACAAGTTCAGACCTTTAACAGGAATTGAGTTAGACCTAGTTCAACAGTGTCTTCTAGATAACCTTTGGAACAGTGAGAACCACCCAGCTAAACGACTGTCAGCCCTAAACTCTTAGCATATATTTTTCTAAAATCCAAAATAAACCTTTGTCTAAAAGCTTTTCTTTCTATGTAGTAATTAAAGGAACCAAGCCTGGTATTTACCATGACTGGATAGAAGTTGAACCCTTAGTTAAAATTTTTTCCATACCCCAGTATAAAGGATTTTATGATTTTGAGTCAGCCAGTACCTATATATTATTTATATATATCATAAATAATATATTGAGAACAATTCCTTTTCTTCCATCTTGAAAGTTGTCACCAATCAACAAGTTAATACACTTTCACCTTTTCACCTACCAATCAAAAGTCAAAAAAGCTACCATCCACCTATCAATTATATAATAATAAATCTAATTAAATAATATATAATGTAAAATTAATAAAATCTATAAAATACATTATCTATTTTATATTTATTTTAACATAATTTGTTATTACTTATTTATTATATTTTTGTTATTTATAATATATATGTCAATTAAAAGTAAAAAAAAAAAATATATAGATAAATTAAAAAAATTATTAATAGTATTAAGTAATACATAAGATAAAAATAATAAACATATTTTAAAAATTAAATATTTAACGTATCTCCCTACCTGTATCCTCGTTTGGATCCATATCCACGTATTTTCAATTTTTAGTTTTGAAATGCCCGACCCCTAGATACGTACCTGCACCCGCACCTGATACCCACATCCGAGTCCGTGTAACGTAGAAGGTGAGGATGACTGGTGGTGATGACAACGACATGTAGTGATCTCGACAAGTGGTTGCACCCATATGAGGATAGCATGGAAGGTAACAGAAATGTTGGCAAAGGTGGCAGTGGTGAACAACAATGAGGACATAGAGATGGTCTTTTTAATGCCATTCAGATAGAAATAGAGGATGTTGAAGCATCTGTGGCCAAAGTAGTCGGCAGTAAAGACAAATGATGAGTTGTTTGAGTGTGAGAGCTAGTGTTGCAAATATGGAGAGCAAGCATGGGTTCTTTTCGGCATTGAAGGATGTGGTGGTTATAAGTCGTACTTTTTGTTATATGACAATGAAGCATGGGCACAAGCATAGGAGACAAGTGCAACATAATACAAACCAGTAGATTTAAGAAGGATGGATACTGACGTGGATACGACACAACATCATGTCAAATTTTTTTAAAAAAAAATTGGACAGGACACAACAGGGACACAATAACAAATAAATGTGTTTTTCTATGTATACATGAAAATACTAATTTTTCTTCTTTTTTACATGACTATTTTATTAGGCAGGATACATCAAGAGTACAATATCATCTATAATATGTATATGTATATATTATGTAAATAGAATTAATGAGTGATTTTTTTCCTCAATATTCACATGGTAAACTTTCTTTCCTTGTGAATTTATCGGATATTCTGAATTCTTCCCTTTTGATAATAGGATTATGTAACAAAAAAGAGGGTTATGTTCTATAGACACTTGACAGGAAATAATGATCCTTGTACAAAATAGTGTACTTGATGACTGGAAATTTAGACTCCGAATTTTTTTTTTTGGGGAGAATTTTTTTGAATTGTGCATGAAACTTTCTAAGAAAAATAACATTTGCATCTGATTATTCAACACCTTTAAAAGTTCCAGAAACTGCTGTCCAGTAGAAATCTTCTGGCTGTTTAACATACCAATGCATGGTTTTGCATGGAAAGTTAGTATGAGACATTCAATCTTGTCGATGTGATGTGTTGTTCAACTGTACTAAATTTCATTATTGTATTAGGATGAGGTGAATATTTTCCCTAGTTTATGGGTGTGCCGGGCCGTATGGGTGACTAGTTGGATTTGATGTTAATTGTTTTTACTGGATGTGAAACTACCAACAGTTATTTAGGCTTGAAAAAGTCATTCCCTTGGATTATTTTGAAGATAACTTTACAATTAGCCGGAATGGTACTATCGGGTGCAACATTTTTAGCAAATTACTTTTTTTCACATGTCATACAGGTAAAGCTAAGGGAGATGAAGCCTGGGATGTTATCACATGAACTAAAAGAAGCTCTTGGTATGCCAGAAGGTGCTCCTCCCCCTTGGCTTATTAATATGCAGGTCAGTTGATGTAATATACTTGATTTTGACCTTTAAGGTTTGCGCTTGACCTTTTCATCTCAAATTTTTTTTTTTTTTTTGGGTCTGAAAGACGATGAACTTTTATTGGTCTCAATTTTTTCTTTTTGACTGACTGATTTTTAATGCCAGAGATATGGTCCACCACCTTCTTATCCACACCTGAAAATTCCTGGGTTGAATGCTCCCATTCCTCTTGGAGCTAGTTTTGGTTATCATCCTGGAGGTTGGGGCAAACCGCCTGTTGATGAAGTAAGTTCCTACTGTTTTCATTCACTCTATGTTCTGCTTGTGTTCTAATTTGTTTGTTTATTTCAACATATTACTTAGAATCTTAATTTGTTTTTTTTTTTAATTTTTGAAATAGTTTGGCCGCCCACTGTATGGCGATGTCTTCGGCGTTCAGCAGCAAGAACAACCCAACTATGAGGTACTTCAAACAATACTTTCTGCTTTTGTTTCTTTGTGTTTTTCCATGCTTGATTGCAGTTGTAAACCGATCTCGCTACCAAACTGAAAAGGCAGTTACTGAAAATAATGAACCACATTTCTCATCTTATGAACTGCCATCTTTAGGTTTGCCAGTAACGTCTGTTTGAAATAATGTCATTTGCCTTAACTTATTTCCAAAGATAATAGGAAGTTTTTTTAGCTTTTATTTATGCAGCTTAAATCATAGGCCTTCTCAGAAGATGGAACTTCATGCCTGATGTTTTTATGATGTTAAAACATACTCTATTATCGTATACTGTCTCCAATTAAACAATTCAGGAAGAACCAGTTGATAAGACCAAGCATTGGGGTGATTTGGAGGAAGAGGAAGAAGAAGAAGAAGAAGAAGATGAAGAGGAGGTAGAAGAACAGATTGAAGAAGAGGAATTAGAGGCTGGCATTCAATCTGTTGACAGCCTTTCAAGGTATTGTTCTTTCCTTTTATATTACAGAGATTGTTTACCGTTGGTTCTTGTCACTAATAATAATACTTTTGAAATATTTTTGGCATTCGGCCAAGGACCTAAATTCCTGATGCACTCTGCCTGCCTACCCTTGCACCAGAAAGAACACCAATGGGCGGATCTGTTTTCCATATTTTGTTAGGAAGGAGAAGGGGAGCAAGAGAGAGAGTGCCTTTTCCTTAGGGCCTTGAGTTATTTTTTTATTATTTATTACTATTTTATCTGTAAAAAGTATATTTTCTTCAATATATGAGGGAATATTAGTGAACAATACATCATGCCTATCTTTCCTTTTACTTCTCTTCCCACTCAACCATGCAAAAGGAGCGACAGACAGCTTCTTTTTCTTTTAGAGAGCTTTTCCATACCTCCTACATTCTCTTTCTTCAAATTTGTTTCATTATACCAAACAGAGGATCAGGTAATTGGATTAAAAACTTAAAATTTCCAAATACTCGAGGGATGAGGTTATTTACAATGGGGAGAGTGGTAGTGCCACTTCCTGTCTCCACATTTTCGTTATTGTGGGATAGTGGTGATTTCTGTTAATGACTTAATTTCCTTTTTATTGTTCAGCACTCCTACTGGCGTTGAGACTCCAGATGTTATTGATCTTCGCAAGCAGCAAAGAAAAGAGCCTGAGAAGCCTCTTTACCAAGTCAGTATACCATGCATGCCCGGCCCTTTCCTATATCAATTTTTGCTGTATTGTTCTTGACGCTCACTGTTCATGTTCTTGTTTTGTAAAGGTACTAGAGGAAAAGGAAGAAAAGATTGCTCCAGGGACCTTACTTGGAACATCTCATACGTACGTGATATATATTTTAAATAGAAAATTTGAAGATTTTGTAATAATAGGACATTTTCTTTTTTGAGTTGAGCAAGTTTTTGACCCTTTCTTGCTAACAGGTATGTCATTGGCACTGGCACTCAAGATAAGACAGCAGCAGCCAAAAGGGTAGGGAAATTTGATGATTTTTCCTTTTCTTCCTCTTCCCTTTTTCTTTTTTTTTTCTTCCCCTCCTGTTTGACCACCAATGACTTGAAAAAACCTCCAAAGGCTTTAAAAAAAAAAAAAAAAAAAAAATACTATCAAGCACATTGTTTTTTTTTTTCACTTAAATTAAGATCTGGTCCGGGTTGATGGCTTATGTGCTTTGATGGTGGTTGACCGAATCAAATTACCGAAGGGATGTGATTTGTCATGTGCTTGATAATGATGCTTTTTGATTAAAAATATAATGGAATACTGTAAGAATTTAAATGTGATCTTGGAAATAAAAAGTTAGTGAACTAGAAATACTTGGGTGGGTATAGCATCTCAAACTGGAAGCAGTTACAAAGAAATTAAATGAGGAACATACAAGTTCACTCTTCTATTCTCAGATTGACACCACAGGAACGTGCAAGTTCATTCTTTTATCTATCAAAAAAATAAAATAAAATTCGAGTTCATTCTTTATTGCATTTTCTATTGACTTTTTGTCTCCCCTGGGGTGTTCAGTTCAGCACCTTGTTTTAAAGATGTGAGTTGCACGAGGTGGATGTTCAAAATCTCAACCCTTGTCAGACACACCTCCAAACATGTCCCACTATTTTTAATTTTTTTTTTAAACTCAGATATGCTGTAGACACTTGGGGAACAAGTGCCTCTCGCTTAGACACATGAAATACATTACAAAGTCTAACTAAAATAACTTAGAATCCCATGATAAAAGAAATGCAATGTAAAATTTATACTTATTCTTCTTTATATTTTAGATATTATTATACTGTATTTTGTTATTATCTTTGAATTAAATAGCATATGCGTGGCATATACTAAGTGTTTCTCCTTGTATACGACATAAATAAATAATAAAATTATATATTTTGCTTGTGTTTTCAAGGTGTCGTGTCCTACTTTTTTTGAAAGTTTACATGGCATGTTTGTGTTGTGTCACGAGTTTGTGCTTCAGCGTGAATGATTCATGTTTAGTTAGAATTAATCAAAGAGGCCTAGTGACATGTTTTGTTCTCCATCCCAGGGATGATAGGAATCAATCAACACTTAATCAAGAGAACATGTGATTTAACGAGGATGTATCATCATTTGCAACTTACAAAAACCATGTGGTGCGTGCATACTAAATGTGTTGGTTCTGTTTTCAGGTTGATCTGCTTAGAGGCCAGAAATCAGATAGAGTTGATGTCACATTACAACCAGAAGAGTTGGAAGTAATGGACAATGTTTTGCACGCAAAGTAAGCGGAATCCTTGTTTGTCTAGTGTCAAGGTGGGTATATATTAGTTACCGGACTCTCATTTCTCATTATTCTGTATTTCACAGGTATGAGGAAGCGAGGGAGGAAGAGAAGCTGCGTAGTCAGCGAGAGGACTTCAGTGACATGGTTGCCGAGGTGTGTGTCTCACTCGATCTTTGTTTTTTTTTTTTGCTTGGTGTTTTGCGTAGTTTTCGACAAATTTGTTTTGATGGTGTGGGCTGGTTTGGTGCAGAATGCGAATAAGAGGAAACGAAAAATGCAGGAAAAGGAAGGGAAATCGAAGAAAAAGGATTTCAAGTTCTAGGAGGTTTTGTGATTGTAATGCTAGAATGCCAGGTTCATTACACGCCTTGGCTGCATCGATATTTTTACCACTCAAAACCATAATGTTTGTTGCTTGCTTGTATGCATAACTAAAACGAAAAAAATGTAGTGGCTCTAACTAGACACAAGCCTACTGTATTAGTCATTAATGAGAAAAATGCTGTGAATTTGCGCTATTACTTTCTGTTTCCTCTTGCGTAGGATGGAAAGTATGTTTATATTAGTCGTTAATGACAAAAATGCTCTGTTAGATGTGAAAGTGATGTTTGTGTGAGTATCGGTCGAGAGCATGTGTGTCGAGTTAAATGAGCATATTTTGGTAGTAATAACTTTTTCTAGCTTATGTAGAGAGTATGAGTGAAAAATCTGTTAAGAAGTTGGATAAGGTCCAGCTAACGATGTTTCTTGTCAACTTTTCTGTCCTTTGTCTAAATAGATGTATTTTTAATTATTAGATTATGTGAAAATGGGCATAATTCAACAATTAGGACTGTATTAGGATATGAGGGCATAGGATCTTGTGTTTTTAAATCCTTCTAGTCTATGTGATATTAAGAGCGAGTATTTGCGGTAGTGGTATGTTTTCGTGCCTATGAAAAAAGTAGTAAATATGGGAGGAAGACAGTATTGCAACAAAATTGAAAGTTATATTGATGCACGTGACGTGGTAGAGTTGATGTGGTATATCATTTTATTTTTTGTTTGTTGTGTGATAAATATGAGATTTGAAAAGTTATTTTGCCCTCCACCCAAGGGATTCGAGTGTTCAGTCACATTCACTTTAAAGTCTCACTTTTTATTATGTAATAAATAACAATAATGTTTGGAAATTTATTTGAGAATTCTAATAAAATTCTAATGATGTTGAGAGTACTTATTTAGTATGGGGTCCACTTTCCTCTCTCCACTCTCTCTTTTCTATCTTATTAGAGTTCCTATTAAAGCTACAATTGAAGATACAATTTTAAAGTTTAAATATGATTTAGAGCTCTAAATAATGAGCTCTAAAGTTACCACTAGTGTGTTGGCAGTAGAGTCTATCACTGGATCCTACTGCTGATGTGATAGATATGTTTTTTTTCTAATGTGATAGATATGTTTTTTTTTTGTTTTTTTTAATGTGACATTAAAATTATTGAGTTAGAGCACCCAATTAGTGCTCTTTAAAGTTTTGTATCACTACTCAATAAATAATAATACAACAATGATTCATCTCACTAAAAACATCACAACTAATAGCACTAATGCATTAAAAAAATAAAAAAAATAAAAAAAAAATTACAACTCCAAGACTAAAACATCACATCATTCATGGCGGGACCCACTGTCACCTAATTAGTGGGAGCACTAATTAGTGCTCCCAAGCATTTTTCATAATAATAAGTAGAAGAGTAAGATTACACTATGTCAACTCGTTGCATGTTATGGATAGTTATTTATCAGTATTGTATTTTGTGGTGATTGGCTAGCTTGCAAAGGGTTTGGAAAGGCATGATGACATTGCATGCACGAGAGATAAAGAGGAAATATCAAATCAGTGGGAAGTAGTGTTTGATTTTGCATTTATGAATTGAGTAGAGAGAGAGAGAGAGAGAGGTCTTGTTCACTTTATGCATGAAGAAAAGCATCCCATGCCAAAAGCAAAGCAAGATAATTAAAAGATTATAAAGTGGATCATGCATCATCATTCTGAAGATGTTGTACAACAACTTCTTAACCACCAAGAAACAAGAACGAGAGAGAGAGAGAGAGAGAACGAGATGATGACAATGAGGGGGTTTCATGGTTAATACACTCCAAGATTTTAAATTAAATGTTGAAATATTGATTTGTCATTTAATAAATTCAGAAGGAGAAATTAAATATAGTAACTCAACATTCGAGTTTATGGCTCATTTTAAAGTTGGCTTTTTAATTGCTTGAAATATCAAAAAAATAAAAATACAAAAAAAGATGTGACAATTATTCAGTGCTCATAAAGTAAGTTTTAAGTAGTGTTCTAAATTAATAGTTATTCGTTTAAATGTGTTAATTAATAAATGAAAGTCTATGCACACAAGCGATGCATGTGTAAAAATGATGGTTGTAATTGTCATCTGAAAAGAAAAATTAAATTAAATGGATGGAAATTAAAAAAAAATAAAAATGAACGAAATCAAAATTTGAATTAAATGAACAATTGTATAGACGTGATTTGGATATAAAAAAATGCATGACATAATTTTAAAATATATTTCAAATTGTGTGTCTTATATAAAATAAAGACTTAACTTGGTGTTGATGCCACAATTTTTTTTTTTAATATTCTCAAATTATCCCTTATAACTATGTCTATATATCACCAATAGACTAAAAGAGAAATTCTTAACTGCCTCATAATACAGCTTTGATCTTTTTAATTATACACAGTTTGTTTATCTTTCTAATATATATATATATATATTTGTACTATTGAAAAGGTTCTAAGTCCAATTATTGTGTCTATAAGGTCATGTTTGATTCAAAAAATTAATAGTGAAGTATTAATAATCCTATTAAATTAGTGTAGGATTCACTATCCAATTGGATTAATATCCATTGGATTAATAATCCCACCCCTACCCCATTATTAATAATCTTACAAATTTGTTGGATTAATTATCCGTTGGATTAATAATCCTAAACCAAAATATTAAAACAAACATGAGATAATTGGGCCCACGGATTAATAATCCTAATCCCGTGCTCTAATCCACCCAATCAAACATGCCCTCAAATCTATATCAGTAATGCTATAGATTCAAATATAAAAATTCAAAAATTATTCAGAATTTTACATCAATAACTTAGATTTATTTCATATATAAATTTCATACTTTATCAATTTAATTTTCACCATACATACCAATTTCTAAATAAATTCTGGACCTAACTTTTTTGAATCTATATGTTTGTGTTGTCCACTATATATCTTTCTGCCTTGGCTGCTTGACTGTTCTCAAATATTCCTTACTTAAACATTACTCTCTCTCTCTCTCTCTCTCAGCAGACATGTGAATATGACCCAATTTTCATTCCCTACTCCACAATTGGAAAGGGTTAGGTAAATGAACATGCATCAAGAGGACAAAATTAATACTATAAAAAAATATATGGTGGGCCATAGAAATATCTCCTAATTTTTATTAGATAATAGTTTGATTGTGTTTATGAGTACATTATTGATATTTTTTTTTGGTGAAAAGATTTCTTAAACACTTGACTAACAAAAGTGTAAGGTTACACAAATCAACATATTTTATAATTTTTTTATTTATTGATGTGACATATATCATAACATTAAATTGATTCTTGATTCAGTTTTCAAAATTTTGTTATTGCATGATATATTAGCTAATAAGAAAAGTTTGTGAGATTTGTTAGTTTGCCTAACATTTTCTTTAACAAAATTATAATGATGATATATAACTTTGGACCTTTTTTTAAACTAAGAAAGTATGGATGGTTTAACAAATTATTATTATTATTATTTTGATAATTGATACTTCATTTTACGTAGGGTCTTTTGAATTTACCTCATAAGGTAAATTCGAGATTAAAAAAGATGACCCCTGAGTTCATGAATAGAGCAAACAAGAGGGCATTCAAATGTAAGAAGCATATTTAATTACCAACTCAAATAACCCCTAGGGATTTAATGAAGGTGAGTTTTGAGTAATTCTACCCTTAACACCATCCTAATCACTATTCATTTGGGCATATGATGCTTTAATCCTTTGATGCACAATGCAAATTGTGTTAAAATTTTGACAATTTTTACAACCCTTACAACCCCACACTACGAAAAATTAAGGTTTTAGAAATTAAAATTTATGGACAAAATTATTTTGTAACGACCAGATATTTTTGTTACGAAAAGTGTTATTATATTTTTAGCAACGAAAATTGAACATTAGTGATGAATTATTATCATTTTAGAACCAAATTTTTTATCTCAAAAAATAAACCATTTTGAGACCAAATTATTTTGTTCCTAAAAGTCTATTTATTAGTGACATTTTTAAAATTTTGTCCCTAAAAGGGTTGTTTTTGACTTTTTAGTAACTATTTTCACGACGATAAAAATTAGTTCCTAAAATATCTTTTATAACAAAATTTTCACTTTTAGAGACTACCCTTGCATGTTGTAGTGCCATTTGGGTTGGTAGATTCTTATGTTTTGTGCTAGCAACTTATGAGATATTTAGTTGAAGTAAAGGAGGAGAAAAAAAAAAAAACTTTTGATCAAACGTTTGGTCTAAGAAAAATAACCTATGATCTTCTAGTCCGTCATCAAAATGATTTTTAGAAAATAAGAAAAGAAAAGGTGAGAAATTATATAAAAAAAATATTTAGAGTTTGACCTTTTTAACAAAATAAATCTCAAATTTTTAATTTTATCAATTTAAACACAAATTTTTAAATTTATTTTCAATCTAAACTATCAACCTATTTCTGTTAATTAAAACTAACCAAAAAAAAAAATTAATTACTAAACTGAATATAGGCGCACATAAAATGTTTAAAATATTCTTTTTTCTATTGAGTTTAAATTGACAAAAATTAAAAATTAAATTTTTTTTTTGTTATAAAGGTCAAATTCTGATATTTTTTTTTTATAATTTTTTCTATATATATATTTATATTGTAATTGAATTATGTGTACCTAACTTTGCACACCATATGCAATCATATACAGAATTAAGTAAACTTAACACAAATTCGCGTAATCACATAAGCTTTCGTGATTTTACACAAATTTGTATTCAACTTACGTATTTTTATGTTATATAAATTCAGAAAAATTTACATAATTTTGTGTAAAATTACATACAATATGCACATCAAAGCATTTCTCAAAATCCATATGTCCAATAATAAATCCAAAGTATGACTCCTTCATGCAGCACTTTTGATGCTTCACTGTCACTTTCCTTTTTATTTCAATTATTTGTTTTCATGTTTTCCACATTGCTTTTCCAAGTGTTTTATGATATTTTGGAAACAAAAACATTATATGGACACAAATTCTTCTAAAGGTTCAATTCAATGTGAGACAACTGCGTTTGTTAGTAATTAAATCATGTGTTAAACATCAAATTCTTTTTTTTTTTTTAATAATAGGAGAGGAGATTGTGTACCATATTCTTTTCATTATTAT